TACATTCTTTAACCATTTCATCTTACATTTTGATTTCTAAGTTATACATTTTCTTAACTATTTTATCTTTTGAACCCAATAAAAGCTTATCAAACATTGTATGTTCTGAATAAAAAACGTCTATTTTGTCTTTTATATAGATTCCAGCTGTGCTCTGGACCACCAGCCTATGTAAATATTCTGTGTTTCTAGCTCTTCTTTAGACCTTAATTCACCATCCTTTTAAAATAAATCTTGATATCTTAAAAGTTTTGCTTTTGTCATGAGATTAGGTTGTGTAAAGGCCTCTATAGGTGATACCCATGCAGGTGTTTTTTGATAAACTTGTTGTATAATCTTTTTCCATGTTCCCAATAAAGCTCTTCTTATCATATGTAAATTAAATGCTTTTGCTCTTTACCGTTTTTATACCATAGATAAGCGTGCCAGCCTAGCTTTAAATCATGTCCTTCCAAGTTATCATTTTCCAAATATCCATTCTTTTATCCAATCTAAAATACAGGATTGATAATACAGAACCCAATCTGGAAGACCAAAATCAGCCCTCTGTTCGGCATCTTGCATTGCTTTAAATTTAATTCTTGGTTTTTTACCTTGCCATACAAATCTCATGATTATCTTATTAAGTTCTTGGAAAAAGGTCTGTTTTAATATGATAGGGATTGTTTGAAATAAGAATAAAATTTTTAGCAAAACACTCATTTTAATTGTCGCAATCCTTCCCGACAGCGATAATTGTAGTTTATCCCATTTCTCCAAATTGTTCTGTATCTCCTTAATCAGTTTCATATAATTATCTTTAAATAGTGTACTCGTCTTCTTTGTAATTTGGATCCCTAAATATCTAATTCTCTTTTCCTCTTGGAAGTTCATCTTCTCTACTAACTTCTGCCATTCTTGTTCTCTTATATTTTTAATAAGTATTTTTGTTTTCTTTTGGTTTATTCTCATTCCTGCCATATCACCAAAGTTTTTCAACGTCGCCATCAGGTCTTCTATTGAATGCACTGGATCTTCCAGTAAGTTCTGATATGCCATTTTAATGTGAGGATTACATCAAATGACATATTGCAACTCCACCCTATCCTAAACGCTCTATTCTTCCGACTGAAGAAGTGAACTTGTACACAAAAGCTCACAATAAAATATAGCAGTTAGTCTTTAAGGTGCAACAATGTTTTTGTCTTCTTTATTTCTTTATTTGGTTTTGACTCATATGCTACCACAGATTAACACGGCTACCTCTTCTAAAACTACAACTATGGAAAAACATGTATCCCCATTTCCCCTTTTGGCAAGGTTTTCCTCCCTCTCCTTTTTTTGGTAAGAAATATGCACTCCTTCTAAAATAATGTTGCTTTTAAAGTGGCAAACAACATATGTAACGGAAAAAATGAGGAACATACTTTTTGTAGTAGATCCGATCTGATCAGTGGCTGAAACAGTCACACAGTCAAAGAGCTGAAATGCCAGTTTAAACCTCAACAAAGTTGAAGAGGGGTTAGGGTTTTTTGTTGTTAAAATTAACAATTGCCTATGAAAAATATTGATGCCGTTAGAGACATTGGATGAATCCCAGTGCTAGTCCTGTACCTTTTGCTGCCTAAGTTAAAAAAGTAGATGGTGCTTTCCCCATCCTCTTCCAAAATCCCATTTATAAAAGCAGACTGGACTGGTATTTAGAGTCACTTCCAGCTGACAGGAAAGTATTTTCCACTGTCCTTGAGGGCAGGAGACTAGACTAGTGGAGACAGAAGATGGGGTGGGGGAAGCAGGCTGAAGCCCCCACTGCTCCATCTCACAGCACCTCACAGCACCCAGAGCCTAATGATTAGGCAGCTTCCCCACCTCCAGGGTGGATGAGAAACAAATTATAGTACAGTCCCAGAGTTCAAAATGTAGCCATGGTTGCTGGGGAATTTCAAGAGCTGTAGCCCATAAATGTGACTTTTTGGAAGCCAAAGATATGTGTGCTATACGGCTGATCCCAGGGCATTAAACTACCCTGCTGTCTTTGGATGTGATGGAAACTCTAAGTGCATTTCTATGAACACTTGCTCGTATTCTACTGAACTCATTATTTTTTGAGTAAGCATGCACAGGATACCGAAGTTGCTCTCTATAGTCAAAGTAGAGAGTAAATCTTCCATTATCTGGCAGAAACAAGCATATTTGCCAACAGCTGATTTGCAATGAATATAGGAATGCAAATCTGGGAATCCATTAATGAATTCTCTCTGCTTAACTGGGAGATTAGGTGCATGTTTAATTATATTAGGACTGCATTGAGCCTGGAAAAGTACCTCTTTTAAAGTATAACTCTCCCTTAACCAGCATGGCATTCTGACAAAGAAATTCTGGGAGTTAAAGTCCAAAAAAGGAACTTCTCCAAGCTCTGCACTGAAGTATACCTTGATACACTACCATCATTTAAGTCTGCAGCCTTGTTTCAAATGAATAACAAAAACAAAAACTTCCCATTATTAATTCATTCATACATGCATTAATGCATTCATTCAATTTATATACCGCCTATCTAGCAACATTATACAGTAATACAAACAACAGACTATTTATTCACCCTAAATAGTTTGGACATTGGCAGAGGGACTAGAGGAATAATATAGTATTCTAACATGTTCTAGATAGAGAACCCCAAAGGCTTCTGTTCTGTTTTTAAGAGCTTCTTAAGTATGCAAAGGGTAACTGCCATATTTCCTGTGGGACAGCATTCCATAGAGACAGGGACACAGCAGAGAAAGCCTCATTTCCGGTTACCATTTTCCAGGCTTCTCTGAGAGTTAAAACCAGCATGTGAGGACCAGGTCAGACAAACCTTCTTCTGCCCAGTCTACCTATATCACCCACTCCAGTCAGGCTGGGCGGCTGAGGGGCCGAATGCCAAGAGAGGCCTGGTGGGGGAAAAACAGAAACCGGGCCTTCTTGGCAGTGGCCCCTTGCCTCTGGAACAACATACCTGTTAAGATCCACCTGGCTCCCTCACTGAGGGCCTTCAAGACTAACCTGAAAACATGGCTATAGAGGCAGGCCTTCCCTACAGCCATTACCTAGAGCCTATCTCCTCTTTTCTTCTATTTTCTCTTCTTCTTCTCCCCCTCACCTTTTTCTTTTTTCCTTTCCCATCTTGGATTAATCTGGATTTTATCTTAGTTTATTTTTATCTTATATGTAAACTGCCCAGAGTAGACACGCTCTAGATGGGCGGTATATAAACAAACAAACAAACAAACAAACAAACAAACAAACAAACAAACAAACAAACAGACAGCCGAACCTGGTGGAAGACATTCAGACAAGCAATGAGGTCCTAAAATTATACTTATTATAGAATTATCACTATCACAGATACAAATCTCTGTCATTTAAGATGTTATAAAAGTAACCAGAAATTCCAAGGGGGATCTGTAGACAAACAAAATGAACAGAATCAAATAATTAGTATATGTAACAATGTCCATCAACAAATGTCTTCTTCAAGGACAAGGGATCTGATATGGTTCTTATGTGAAATCCATGACAGCCCAGAAGTCATGATGCCAACAGCAAATCTTGTCTGAGATTATAACAGAATCCTAGACACAGGGCAGGTGTTGGCTTTCATTGCATCTGAACAGAGCAGCCTTGACAATAATCAGATGATCCCTTATTGATTTGAATACTGGTGAAGCCCAGACAAGCAGCTGCCCAAACATTCAGTTGCTTAGGTTTCCAGAGATCTCTTTGTGTGACAAGGTGGTGAGGTTTACTGCATCCAATAAGAACTGTACGTGATTATCCAATTGAATGGTATTTAATGGCTGTTGTGGGTTTTTCGGGCTGTCCTCTGAAGATGCAGGCCACAGAGATTGGTGAAACGTTAGGAAGAACAGAATACAGCCAAGAGCCCAAAAACCCCACAACAACCATTAGATCCTGGCTGTGAAAGCCTTCGCAAATATGTTGAATGGTATTTGTTTAGAATAACAATAAGATAATTATTCCTTTATCTAATTGAAACATTACTGCAGGGCCACTTTATTCAGAGGGCAGAGTAGGGCCCACTGTCTGAAGGGCCCACATAAAGAGGGAGGATATTTTTGGGGGGCTTGTGTGATGTTGCTGCACAGCCTGCAGTGCTTTCCGCTTGCTGGGCCTTTGAAGTCTTATGTATGCTGAGGTCATGTGATGGGACCATGCTGCATGACCTCATGCCATTTGAGCACTGGTGGTCCATGCAGCCTTTTCTCCTGCCACCCATGTCATTGAGGACCCTGGCCTGGCAGAGCTGACAGTGTCAGGCACAGCATTGAGTAGCTCTTTGGGGAGTAAAGATGGCAGAGTGAGGATATTTTAGGGGCTAAGATAGCAGAGAAGGGCTGTTAGGGGGCTAAAGTGGTACAGAGATGCTGTTTTGTTGGCTAAGATGGCACAGACAGGCTATTTGGAGGCACAGAGGGCATTGGCAGGATGCACAAGGCTTATGCATTTACTGCTCATTGGCATGATATACCAAGTCTATGCATTAAAATGATGTGTCTGCAAAATTCACCTTCAATCTGAGGAGAATGATCCAGCCGCTGGAGGGTCCCTGGACCTCGAGCAGCGAAGCTGGCTTTGTCTTCCACCCGGGATATTGCGAGACGGGCCTCACGTGATCCCCAGGTGGGAGGGGAAAGCCCAGGTATTTAAAGGGCCTTCCCCTCCAGAAACGCCCTCTTCTTTTTGGGCAGCCGAGCTGGAAGGGTGACACTGAACAGCGGGCTACGCTCAGCACGTGGTCTTACAGAATGGATTGCTAGGAGGTGAACGACAGGGCTGTTGCAGGATGTGGAAGGAGGGGCAACGGCTCTCTCCTTAGGGTGAGGTCCTTCTTTTACTATCTGGGGAGCTCCTTGGGGGACGGCTCGGTGTGACTATTGGGGCTGTGTGATTAAAGGGAGGCTCCGTGAGGGAAAGCACGCCAGCATTTTTGGCAAAGGCGGGTGGTTTTTAAAACTCACCGGGAGTGCCTGGCTGCTGCCCCTCTTCCAGTTTTCGATCTCCCTCTCCAGGCTTGAGTTCGCTGTAGTTTTGAGTTGATTTGTCTCTTGAAAGCTGCATGGGATTCTTGCGTGGTCGGGCTGTTCCTGGTTTTTCTGAGGGCTTCCTGTGCTGAGGAAAGGAATTTCCTGCTGTGCGCCACCATTTCCGTTCCCCCTCCTCACTCCTGGTGCGCTGAATTAAAGAGCCCCCTTTGTTTCCTCTTGCCGGTTTACTTAATGCTGAGGCGGCGGCTGTTTTTCTTTGTGAATTTGTCCGGTTAGTGTGGTCTCCAGACCACCCCCCCACCCCCTGCTTCCCCTCCCTTAGTGAAGCTCTATTGTGCCCTGCTTCGAATCTCGTGCTCCCTGCTGCTTCCTTGGTGTGCGGCGCCATTTTGTCTCCCCCACACACACACGTTCCGTTCCCTTGGGGTCCTGCCTTTTTCCTTGCTGTTTCCCTTGCTGTTTCCCTTGAGGTCTTGTTGTTGCCGGGCTCTCCAAAGCTGTAATAAATTGGTGTGCGGCGCCATTTTGTCTTCCCCACACACACACGTTCCCTTCCCTGTTTGTTTTCATTGGCGGCGGCGGTGGCTCCCATCTTTTTCCTTGAGGTCTCATTGTTCCCTTGGGGTCCTGCCTTTTCCCTTGCTGTTTCCCTTGAGGTCTTGCTGTTGCCGGGCTCTCCAAAGCTGTAATAAATAGCCTATTTGTTTCACCTTGCCTGACTGCTTTCTCTTGCTGCTGCTGCAACAGCAGCTGCTTTCCGTTGGTGGTTTAATTGTCTTCCTATTGTAGCCTTTGTGGTTCTTTCCTTTATTTCCCCCCCACCCGCTGCTTCCCCTCCATTGTTGAGGCGGCAGCAGCTTTTCACTAGTCCCCCTTTTCCTGTGAAACGTGGCCATCAGGCTCTCCTGTTTACATCCAGCCAACTCCCTTTCTTCTAACCTGCACTAAATTTGCCACCATTGGTTACACTGCTCCTTTAATTGGGATTGGTTTATGGGAGATCAGTTTCCTCTTTACTAGCTGGGGTTAATTTCTTCTGGCTGCAAGCCACCACCTCCCTTCGGATTTGAATCTCACAATTCTTAACGCCTCCCCCCCATCCCTGCCTCGGGCACCACATGGTTTTTGCTTGGTTAGTGCAAGGAGCCTTTATAAGATTGGGGTTTCCCATCATTCAAATATACACACACACATATATAGATGTATAAAAGTTAGCCCAGTGGCACTGAATGCATGTCTGCACTTTAAGTTAGTTAATAAATAACCTCCATGGTTCCTGTTTTCGCTTTTGGCTGCTCATATTTGTGCTGCTGTGTTGTGGGGGGGGTGCTTCACAATACATCATTCTCTAGTGGCACTGAATGCACATTTGCACTTTAATTGGATAATATAATACATAAATAAATAATTAATAATTATTTAAAAGAATAATAACAAGAAAAAAATTATTTCACTTTATTTTTGTCCTTCAATTTGAGATTTGGATATTTAAAACTGAAGCAGGTGGGATACATAGTGCTACGACATTTCATTGTTGAAGGTTAAGAGAGCAATACTTAAGCAACATTAACTGGGCCTATTGATTGGCAGTTACTTTCTGGAATACTTGAATATTTGGCCACATTAGCGGCGTCTGGAGGTGGACTTCTTATGCATTGATTTTTATTTTATTTTCACTGGCTTAGGTGCTGAGTATTATAATTTCTGGGTGATTAATTAATTAATTCAATTCATAGGTCCCCAAGGGTGACAATCAAGTATATCAAATTAATTAGTTCCATTGGGAGTAGCACTACAAGCAAACAAGAAACTTCATTAATTCATTAATCTGGTCAGTGCGTGTTGGCAAGTGCTGGTATAAAGTGCTGGTTTATTAAGGAGAATAATTAAGAGGTGTCGATACATAGGACCCCTAAAGGGTAGCTGCACAGATACTGTATAACAGTTTAACTTCAGAGGAATGGTGCCACGAAAGGGGGTTGGAACCAAAAAGGGGAAACAGCCTGCCAAGAGGAGGCAGGTAACCCAGGTGTCACCTCCACAATCCTCTTCTGATGAGGAATCATGGCCGGTCTGGCAGAAGTTACAGAATAAAATCGCGACCTTAGAGGCTCAAACGCTAGGCAAACAGCCCTCTCAACCAGGCAAGGGACAGCAGCGCAGATCAGCCAGGGAATCTAAAAGCCATAGGCGAGCTAGGTTAAGGGTCGTGGCACGCAAGTTAACGCAGAGATGTGCTTCTCTTGAGTCCGCACAGAGTATGGATGCTTCAGCGAGGCGTGATCAGGATGGGGCAACTGTTGCTGCAAAAAGGCGCCGGACTAAGGAACAACAGCCACTGCCCCTGGAGGATTTGGAGCTGGCATATGTAAGCCAGGATGAACAGGACGAGATGGAGGAGGCCGATGGCAGTGCTCTGCAGCATCCCAAGGACCTGGGCAGAGCATCTACGTCCTACGGTGAGTCTGCAACCAGGTCAGTCACCCAAGCGCCTCCGGCGGCATGGCCCTGGGCCGCGGGTGCGCCAGGGGGTTACGCGGCCAGCACACCCTACACCGCTACGAGCATGGGGTTACCTAATGTCTCATGGCCTTATGTTGCTCCACATTTCAGTGGCTGGGGTGGTCCTTATGTTACCCCTCCCACACAGACTCAGCCTGACAATACATCCGGCTCAGGGTCCTGGCCGTATCCGGCAGTACCCAATACAGGCTATAACACCGTGCCTATTGGGGCGCTTCCTTATGGGGACTACTCGACTCCCTTGGGAGATCATTTGAGCCCAGCAACCAAGCAGAAAATTTGGAAAGGAAAGTACATTGATGTGTTTGAATTACTTAATAGGGAGGTGGAGAAGAAGGATTTGGATGGGGAGGATGAGAAGGATAAAGAGAGGCGAAGGAGGAAAAAGCCAGAGAGGATATGGGCAAATTGGCTCCCTGGATTCTTAATTTATGTGGGAGTCATTGTGAAAGCGCAGCCTTGGAGGGCGCAAGCCCTTTTCCAGTATTTGGATATCATTTACAGGGCCTATACAGATTTTGCTGGACAGGCTTGGTTGCAGTATGACCAAGCCTTTCGTATGAGAAGCGCCATCCAGCCAAATCTACGCTGGGATGAACCGCAGCCGGGGCTCTGGCTGCAACACATGGCGCCTTCTAGGCCCAACACAGGAGAGCTGTTCGATAGTGGACATCTTAATAGGAAACCGTTAGCTCCACAAGCTACCTGCACGGGCGCGGGGCAGGGGGTTCAACCCCGCCTGCCTTGCTTTCCATTTAATGCCAGGGGCTTCTGTAACAAGAAGCCTTGCAAGTTTAGGCATGAATGCCTCACCTATGGGGAACAGCATGCAAATTCCTCTTGTTTTTGGGCAGGGGCCCAGAGACACAGCAAGAACACGGGAGGTCCCAAGAAACCTAACAATGGCGGCGGCACCTCTGGAAAAGGGGCCCAGCCCAATTAGGGTACATGTTATGGAGGAATGGCTGAGGTCTTATCCTCGCCAAGAGGATGTTAAGTATTTATTGCAGGGTTTTAAATATGGGTTCAGAATTCGAGCTGTAGGGGAACGCAAGGCGTTCATGGCATGGAACCTTTGCTCAGTGCTAGGCATGGAGGGCATCGTGCAGCAAAAAAACCGATAAGGAAGTAAGGGAGGGGAGGGTCCTCGGACCCTTCTCAAAACCACCCATGGAGAACCTCAGGGTTTCGCCACTAGGCATAGTGCCCAAGAAGGCCCCAGGTGAATTCCGTTTAATTCATCATCTGTCCTTCCCGGAGGGCGGGTCGGTAAACGACGCTATTCCCCAGGATTTGTGCACAGTCAGGTACACCTACTTCGATGAGGCTGTGAAGATGATCAGGAAATGTGGCGTGGGGGCTGAACTGGTGAAATGCGACATTAAATCAGCATTTAGACTTTTGCCGGTTCACCCGCATGACTTCAACTTGCTCGGCTTCCAATTTGGGGGCGCATTTTATGTGGACAGGGCCCTACCCATGGGAAGCTCGGTGTCGTGTGCCGCTTTCGAGAAGTTCAGCACATTTATTGAATGGAGACTTAGACACACGGTAAAAGGCAATTCAACGGCGCATTACCTCGATGATTTCCTTTTCTGTGGAAAAGGAGGCTCAGGTAGATGCAGCGTTATACTTCATACGTTTCAAACATTAGCCAAGGAATTAGGGCTGCCCTTAGCGGAGGATAAGACAGAGGGTCCGGCCACAACACTGACCTTTCTGGGTATAGAACTTGACACCGTACAGCAAACATCCAAGTTACCCCGCGACAAATTGAATGACCTAAGGGCTCGGGTGGAATCTTTATTGCACAAGAGAAAGGCGTCCCTTAAGGACCTGCAGGAAATAGTTGGTCATTTAAACTTTGCTTGCAAGGTTGT